CCCGTGAACCTAGAGCGTTCAAGTTTGGTAGGAATACAGACGGCAAGAAAGGCGAAATCGTCGAAACCTTTGTCGACGACGGAATTGTATTTGATCTCATATACTGCTGAATAAAATAAACTTGTATTGAAGAGCCTTTTCTTCAGAACCATCAGTTGTTTACTAATAAACTAAATGAAAAACGTCTCGAATCATTGATTTCAGTACGGGATTTTCCTCGAGAATTCTTACTAAAATTGAACAGAACAAAGAACGAAAAAAACATTGGCGATATTTCACCTAGGAGGCGAATATCAGGATGATCGTAGAATGGGATATAACTATATTAAAAGAAAATGCTTATTCGAATCCCAAGAAAAAGCCTCGTAGAAAGCAAAAAGTCACCAAGCAAACAAAAACATTACAATAACCTCACAGAACCGTTCACACTGTGCATTTGGAGTGGAATTTGATGTTGGCATCAAGAAAGACGTCTAGCTATCTAGAGCTCGTATCAAGCAGCCATTTCGACTCTGGACACTTCCTTTGTTAGCTGGCGCTCAAAGACACAGTTCACGCTAAGATGGTTTCTGGGACTTTTACTTAAAATGGACCTGTGATCCCCAGGAATAGTCTAAGGGACGGGTTGTTAAGCAAGTTGTAGAGGTTGCAACATACGCACCCGGACCCACCCCTGCCGGCAGGCAGCGTACTGCAGATAGCTGTACGCAGAGACACACGTGTTTGGACATCTCGTCCAAACACCTCTTCCATGCAGCTTTTTTCGTAACACTTCCATGACTCATCTAAATAGATAGCCCGAAATTATCGTGAACTGTACCATGAAACCAGAAACGCACAGAGGTGACCGTGCAAGTTGTAGATGTGCAAGTTGTAGAAGATTGTCCGAAACGTCAGAACTTCCGCTATAAAAGGGACAATGTGGGCATTCAATAAACGTTTTTATGGGAGTGCCTGATGAAGTCTCGGGGAACGCCAAAAAAATCTTCTCGTGATGAGAAAGCACAGAAGATGTGAGCCGTGCTTCTAGTTCTTTGTTTTTTGTCTGCTTCTTTTGTTTAACTCATTGCGTCGCATTGAGGCTTTTTCTTTTCGTGCCCTAAATTCTATAATATGCAAAGAAAACCAATACTTCCTAAGGCTACAATGTCTAATGCGTGTCGACAAACAAAAAGGCCTTCATTAATTGTTTGAAAGTTAGTTAAAAGGCTATTTATCAACGTGTTAACAGTCAAGCAAGGTAGAATGAGTCCGATCAAAGGAATTTGTGAATCTCATCATAGATTGCAAGCACAAGAGCTCCTCCAGTGCTACGGAAAATATTCGACAGAGCACCCTGAAAAAACGACCGTAAGTATAACCATTTTAGAAAAGTGAAAGCACTCAAAACATCGAAAAAGGGAGTTAAACGAAGCTTACCTTGAACATTGCCTTCAATCCTTCATTTCTTATGATTTTTAAGGCACAATCGAGTGTATTCTTATAGAGGACATCTGATCGACCCGACTGCATCATCATACGTCTCCTCACAGTGTCCCAAGGATAGGACATAATACCTGAGCTCACAGTCACAATCTGAAAACAAGGCAAAGTAATGTTCCACTTGACCAGTGTGAAAAATGGTGAAGTAAGGCAACTTACCTGTGCGAGAGCCCAGGCCGCAAAGAAGTTGAGCTTCTTCCCTTCTGAAGCTAAATGGTACTTGATCGTGTCGAACATTCCAAAGTATGCTGCACGATAAATGATAATCCCCTGTACGGACACGATGAATCCACTGAAATGAAACTTCATAAGCTGCTTAATATTGGAATTTCAAAGTTCAATATCTTAATTTTATTACAAGATGCGTCGGAACTGTGGTATGCCCAAATGACTAAAAAGTTTATCCGAAAAAAAAANAAAAAAAAAGCTGAAATAGAACCAAACAACATAGTACGGAGCAAGTCACTGTTAACAATTTTCGATGTGTTTCCTCGGTTCTCAATAGCTTTCCTCGAACACGCCAGGTAAAAAATAATCAGATGCCGATAGCTCCCGACTGCGTAGTCGTCGTGGTTCAAGCCCGACAAGCAAGTGACCCATTCCATCGTGACACGCAAATAAAGGCAGCTCCCCTCGGCATCATTTTTGGACGGCCTCCGCTCTATGAGACACCATACTCTCTCCTTGGAACGTCCAGTATTTTTTCAAGTGCTTTATGGCTCAAAGGAGCAGATACTTCCAGTTAAGTGCATCCTGGTAATATATCTTGTTGACATGTCGCCAGAATTGACTAAGACAATGGGAGTTTGAGCCCGTCGCTATGAACCACGATTTAGAGAGCTGCTTTCAAAGTCCGCTGGTCGCCACGCGAGCGCGCGCGCGTGCCGGCCGACGGACCGTGAACGCAGTCACGGGGGTGTAATGCTCGTGAGACAACTCTTGCTCAGATATTAGCTTATGTGGTCGGTGAGGCAAGTATCATCCTGTTTTGGGAGATGTATACCACCACAATAAATGACTAGTCCGTGAAAATGGTCCTCAGAAGCTGTCCCTTGTGAGCTCATCCTCGCTTTCTTCCCACCTATTTCCTTGTTCTTTTACCATAGAGGGGCCGCGGGCCTTCTCGTAAAAGACAAGAGGCGAATCCTCGGCGAACTTCGGTTACCTTCTGATGCTGCTTCAAAACCATGAAACCTTTGACTATTTCTCTCATGTATTTCTTCGGATTGCCGAAGATCCTCTTGGTGGCATTATCAAGCACCCATGTAGTTGTAAAACCCTTCTCCTTGGAACGCATCCGCACTCCAAGATCTTGGAAACGACTGATTATTCTTAGAACGCCCTGCAACGGCTCCTGGGTTCCGCACGATGCCGGTCACACTTCTTTTTAGACTCAACGAATCGCTACAAAAATCGATATGTAATTGGACAAGATCACTCCGAATTAGCATATGTATGCAATATTACGACAAATGATAAGATGAAAGACTCGAAACAGAAACAGGATCCCTTTTCGGTGAGAGGCATTTATGAAACACCACAACTTTCGGAGAGCCCCCTTGCAATTTTAAAGAGTATATCCAGGACAGCCGAGATGGTGTAGTGACAATTAGTGTACTATAAACTCGCAAGATCTAGGGGTCAACTCCCGGATCGACATCAGTCTGAGCCGAACATCCATCCTGTCAGGGATGAAAATTGATACCAGACTCGTCTGGGAGAGNGCACTAACTCGTATCTCAGCTGTCCACTGCATGTCAACGAATTGGCCAAATAAGAATTCAATACCCGCTATGATTCTGAATGGAAGCCGAATGCAGGGGCGCATAGCAAAACGGGATTGACTAGAGACGAAAACTTGTGAACTCCAGAAACTTCACATTCAGAAAAAACAATTAAAGAAACGTGCACGACATATGACCCGTGAAGCCGAAAGTTCCTATCCTGGAACAGTAACCACTATCAAAAACATATAATGATAGTAAAGGGCATACCGATACAAGCCTATTGGTCCGTCAGACTTGAAAACCTTAACCAAGCAGTCAGTGAGTCCCTGGAATTCTCGTCCCTTTCCTTTTCCAATGTCAACAGCCAGCCGAGTTCCTAAAGAAACATGATCTTGTACTCATTACTAAAGCTCCAATTTACAATGACGCCGTTCCGAGCGACGTATTTCACAGGGCGACGGTGGAATTTGTTTTGAATGGGTTCCTCAAACTTATATGTACCTATTTTCTATTTACTTTTGCCATATTACCTTGCTTCTTTTGAACGGCTCGCTTTGCTCAGTACAGTCTTGCTTATCGTGTTTAGTTGCTTCTTGTTGTTAGCTCCAAAATTTTCGCTTTTTCCATTACTTTCCCTGCCCCCCCCCCATGTTTGTATTTTAGATTTTTTACTTCTTGTCTGCTCCCATTGCTATTCCTTGTTTACATCATTATGAGATAGGTGAATACAGCTCAGCTTGAATAATAACGTGTTTTAACGCAAGGGCCGTCGGTTTAGCGAGGACGCTGACGCGACACACGAACGTCGAACTATGAAAGCACCAAAGGGTAATAGCTTCTTACGTACGGTCCTATTGTGAATAAATAAATCAAGTTCATTTAAAAAAAATAGGGTCAAACAGTCTGACAATTTCTCCTAACCCTAGAACAACAGGACTTCAGTTGGAAGTAGGCGGAGATATAAGTGTATTGCAACAAGAAATAGGCTCAAACCCAATTCAAGAAAAAATTAGCTAAAAACTCACGAGCAAAATCAAGTGGATATACGAAACAAAGAGATGTTGCACCGGCAGCTCCTCCTGATGCAAGGTTACCAGCGAAAAATCTCCAGAAATCTTTCTTTTTGTCAATGCTGAAACTGTCATTGTTCAAAAAGTGCTCTTCGAAAAGCGCCACCATTCGTCGCGATGATGACATATTTTGAGAAAACAGCATACCCTTTCAAGAATATCACGTTATACGTATCCTTAAACGCGAAGTTGAGTGCCTGTGTCGGGAAATATCTCAACACGTTTGCCAGATTTCCTCTCCAGAGTGAAAAGAATCCTTGCTCTTTCGGAACGCGAACCAATACATCGATTATGCCTTTGTACCGTTTTTCAGCCGAAATTGTTTTCGAGGCATCTTGCACCTGGAACGAATGTAAATAATCATAAACTTCCTTGAGATTCCTATCATTCGAATGATCGATTGCACCTGCATTCGTCGTGGAATTACATTTTACTTAATGTCCCCTTCCAAAACAGCGAAGTTCTTTGTGCTTTAAAACAAATCGATAAGTTGAAACACCGAGATACGCCGTGACTTGGTAAAACTGATCCTTGACGGATGTCGCAATTAATGGAACATACGATTCGCGCTTGGTCCACGGCAGTCATCTTAAAGAACAGATAACGCGGACTAGTGCAAATCATTCGCTCCACTGACACTTAGTGGTACTGGTGCCATTTTGAGTTCGCGACAGGCTGCGCGCGAAGTAGTGGGGTGATCTAGTTTCGACGGACGCGCGCGACGGACGTTTCCTGTGTCGTACCCATATTCATATTAATATTCCTTCATTCAAAAGGCACTACATCTTCGAATGAAAATCAACTACAGATGCTTATCTCAAAGCGAGAGTGACTAGTGTCGGGAAAGTGCGAAAATTCTGCATCATAAAAGTCATATTATAATGTAATAAGATTTTTGAGCAAATACGACCTACAACTACGCGAATACTTTTGAACTACGCTGCAGCACGACTAGCTATGCTTTCCGAAATCGAGCGAAAAACTACTGCCCAAGAGCTTGTCTTACAACACCTAAACCTAAGTACACACTCAATACTCCCGATGAACCGATTATTGGCCCCTCAGTTAGCACCGCACATTTAGCAAAAGCGGAGTACCACGACATTGCTGGTTGTGTCGCACTTACTGGTTGGAAAGCGTCCACCGTATATAGTCAGCGAATCCATCGCCGTTGCGACAGGTCGTTGCGCGCAGCGGACTCCGTTGTGCGAGCCGGGATCTTTCATCTTAAAACGCTAAGGCATTGGCACGAGAAACAGAGCCACACAGAACTAACCTAAACCGAAGCACCAACAATGAAATGGGTCACTCGCCACCTCAACTGACCAAGCTTAGCAATATCTTACTGCCTCTTTCTTACTTTCAGGTTCAGGATAGGTAATGGATACGGGTGCGCTTCGTTGTGCGCATCCGTCGAAACTAGGTCATGCCCCAGCCGTCGCACGAGTCAGCCCGCGATACTTGACAGACGTCGCAGTTGTCAGTGGGGCATACGTTTAGCGCTTGGTCCACGGCAGTCAGTTCAAAGAGAAGATATCACCGACAAATGCGAATCTTTGACTTCACTGACACTTGGTGGCTCTGTAATATCATCTCGAGACCTCACTGTGGTGCGCCGCGCGCGAAATGGGCGGGGTGACCTGCTTTAGACGGACGCGCGCAACGTTCGTTCTCCAATGGATACTGAATCGAAACAAATGCCGTTATGCGGTAAAAAGCCCTACGTGGGGAAAATTCCAAAACTGGGAAAGGAATCGTCTGATCTTCTAATATTATGTCGCAATCTTAGAAGATGTCATAGTAACCCCACCGGAAAAGTTGACACAAAAGAATAACGATGAAAAAATATTGGTTCCTCCAAGAAACAATGAGGAGAACAAATAGTGAGCGAACAGTATAGGGTTTTCACAAGAGATTGCCAAGGAACAGACCTGAAGCAACAGCTTGACTCTCTCGATAGGAGCGACGGCGGTTTTTGAGATGGCAGCAGCAGTTCCTCCGGTAAGAAGGTCGGTCATGAACTTCTTCACGTCGACAGCTTTTTTGTCCTTTGGTTTACTGCCAGCATCAATCTTGGCACCAACATCTTTCTTGCTAGCATCTTGCTTACCAGCATCCTTGCTGCCACTACCTTCAGTCATAGCGCACCTGTGAATGACTACCGCACTTACCCGGCTACCTGCAAAATGGGATGACACATGAAAACACGATTACACGGGCACGAATAATAATCAACACGTCAGATTCCCATTCAATAAATTGAATTCAAATGGGGAAATTGAAACGTTTGGGAAATCATCTCACCAAGATATCTGACACGTTACTATCCTTTTTCTTTGGTTGGAAAAACAATAAAAAATAAGAAAGAAACACACTAAATACATAATCGTCGAAAAAGGGAACTAATGAGAGCAGATAAACAGTGAGATTGCATTAAAATTGCAGATTCAAGAGCAAGCTGACATCAGAATAAAGGAATGTTCAGAACTCACAACTGCCATGCAAAGTTCTCAATTCTTGAATCGAACGGAAAATAAGTATCGAAGTCGTTATCGCCACACCACTGAGTCACATGCTCCGAACATTCGAAAGAAACACCAGGCCACAATTCTTTTTGTTAGATGGAATGAGGCGGCTAATCATTACCAGCAGTGGCCGCATTCAGGCTAAGCGATAAGCGTCTGGCGTAAAGCGCCAGCGCGCATGATGCCCGAAGCTCATACCATACACGAAGTAGCGCGCACCTAATTTATTTCCACCAACTTGCAATGTATCATTAACTACCTTTGAGATGCAGACCTGCTTTACTGACAAAGGTTCTAATACTGATCACTGGCGTGCTTATGAATGTCCTGCTTCCCATAGAATACTTCCGTCTTCCTTTTCGATTGAGTCGAATCCTCAATCTATCAAAATGAGTGGAGCAGGTGGTGAAAAGCATTCAAGTTCATTATGAGACGAGCTTTAGGACATCAACCATCCGCGCCGCCTGACTCGCGCGTCGCGCTACGCGGATCGACGCATGACATCTGACGCTTGGCGCCTGACATCCTTCAGCCAAAACAAAGACCGATTGGCCCCATTCGTGCGTCGCATTACGCACGTCGGCGTATGACGTCTGAAATTTAGCGTCTGACGCTTGACTCCTGACGCCCATTCCTAAGAAAAAGTCCGAATCAATCAATGTGCAAAGTGCAAACGGTGTTGTTCCATCGCAGCAATTGCACATGGGCAATCACTACTGCCGCTAACGACACCGCGTTTATTACCCCATTTTGATTTCAGCTGACTCAAAGCATCTCAGTTCGCCATTCGGCTTCGCTCCTTCGCTTAACGACTGCTTATGATACAGACGCAATCGGTCGGTAACCGACGGAGTTAAGCCACCAGGTTACTTGCCGTCGTCTAAGATGATGTTCTACTGATTACATAAGACGACCTAAAACAAATACATTTTCCCGTGGAAAAAACGAAGAACGGTACACAGTGATATGGACGCAAGTGCTCGACGAGACATCCGTCAACGTCTTGAGAATCGCACGCAAGCAGAAGTTCTCCGAGAATGAGAGTGCAACAGAAAAATGGAGAACCTACTTACGACGACGAACGTTCGACGAATGCGTGTCAGTTCCACTACATCGCCAGGCTACACTGATAGGCAATGTTCTCGGGGTTCAGTTTCTTTCTCTAACGTCTGTCAAATTATCCCACATTCACAAGTAAGATTGATGAAGACAAACTGCTCATTCCCATCCCTAAACTTTAGCACATCCTTCGCATATTCCACGTGTTGAAGAGTACCCATGCTCAAAGATGAGGAAGTTCGAAACGAAGCCATATCCGATGCCCATGGAGGAACCTGAGCCCTTCATGGGCATCGGATAGTCCTGAGCCCTACCGAGTCGGGAAATCCGGTGAGGACCCGGTCCGGATATGAAGTGAATTAATCGATGTTTGGCTGTGGGGCCGCAATATTTTGTGTTTACCCATCTCCACAAGGCTCCACTACTAATGATTTTGGTGTCCTGATCGCTTTACAGCAACCCATGGACGTTTCATGGTCCCTGTCACTGGGATGCGTCCGCAGTTTATCAACTTTGCCCTTTGTTATCGCGACAGGTACTCAAAGGAAAAGACAAAGCAAATTGACAGATTATGGAGCTATGTGGGGCAGACAGGCAGTTGGTAGGACAGGCCTGCTGTTTTACACTGCTCAAGTCGGTTTTTTTTCCTGACTGAAAAAAACCGGAGTAGGCAACCACTCATTCTGATCGTCCATAGTTCAGATTGTATGCCTCCCTATAACATTTTCAAATTGGAACAGCCATATCTTGGTCGCTAACCTCATCATGTACTATAAACTCACCGTGATGGAAACAAGAAGCGAAGGAACCACTA